CCAGGAATTGGAGCTTGCTGTGAGCTGTGATGCCACAGCACTCTACCCAGGGTGACAGCTTGAGGCTCTGTCTCAAAAAAAAAGATACTTTAATATCATGAGGACAGGACAGTGGTACTCACCTGGAATAAATATTTAGTTCCCTACAAGCTGTTTTCAGGTATAATCCTTTGACCCTAGAAACTATAAAGGTACTTGTTTAGGGTCGAAAGATGGATAAAATTTCATGTGAAAATCCTGCTTTCAAATGACTTTTGGGGTGTATCAACCTAGAGAGGCTAGACATTCTGCACAGTCAGCTTAACCTTCCCAAAGAGATTTTTGTAGTGTTGTCATTAGGTAGAAGTAATTGGTCATGGCTTTGCTTCCCTCATAGAAGTTACCCCCCAAGCGTCCAGAACTCCCTCCAGCTCTGTTAAGAATGAAGGATGAGCCTGAAGTAGAAGAAGAGGAGGAGGAGGAGGAGGAAGAGGAGGAAGAAAAAGAAAAGGAAGAGGTTGAAGAAAAAAAGACGGAGGATGGAAGCAGTAGGCCACAGCTTGAGATAGAGCCAGAAGCCATACAGGAAACGAAGCCTCCCACGGAGTCCACACGGTCTAAAGAAAAGCAAACCCACGGTACTGTCTTTCTTCTCACGTTATTCAGTGGGCAGTTGCATTGATTGTGGGTAGATTTTTAAAAGCAAAGCTGATTCTTGTCTGTGCATCTTGCCTTTGCATACGTGATACACCGACTGTATAGTAAGCAACTTTCTTGGTCTTCCTTTGACTGCCAGTCATTATTTACTCCCATTGAAAATTAAGGGTTATTTCTAATCTTAGAAATTCTAATCCAGAATTACAGAAAATTGAAAGCTGTGGAAGAATTCTGATCTGCTGCCACTGTATGAGTTGGACAACAGTGGAATAGGTAGGGTTAGGGTGGATGATAGGGCCTGAACAGGCGATCTCAGGATAAGTCACCCTTTAATCATTTTTCCCCATCCGGGGAAATCAGTTAAGCATGATTGTACTCATTGGAGTAAAGTTCTTCAGGATCTTACCTCATTATCTTTTTATCAATAGAACCTAGCAGAAAACCTGGCCTTATAAGTATCCACTCAGTTTAGCAAATATTTGATGAAAAATATTGAAAGATGGAATTGATGATTTTTTTTTTTCTTTTGAGACAGAATCTTGCTCTGTGACTTCTATGGGTGAGGTTGTGGGGATTCCTCTTTTCTTCTTTGGAATTTTATATATGATCTATTATTTCTTTTATAATCAGAAAAAAATACTTTGAAAAATCACTCTAAGCTGGGCATGGTAGCTGATGCCTATAATCCTAGCACTCTTTAGGGGCTGAGGTGGGAGCATCCCTTGACTTCAAGCATTGGAGACCAGCCTGAGCAAGAATGAGACCCTGAGACAAGTCTCTACTAAGAACAGAAAAATTAGCTGGGTGTTGTGGTGGGTCCCTGTAATCCCAGCTACTCAGGAGGCTAAGGCAGGAGGATCACTTGAACCCCAGAATTTCAGGTTGCTATGAGCTAGGCTTATGCCGTGATACTCTAGCCTGGGCAACAGAGTGAGATTCTGTTTTGGAAAAAACAGAAAGAAAGAAAAGTGACTGTTTCCTCATCTGTAAGAAATAAATCTTTTATATTTACATTCTACTTTGTTTAGTTATTGGCAAAATGCCTGGTTTTTCAAAAGGTACTTAATTAACATATACATCCTTTTTTTTTTTTTGGAGACAGTGTCTCACTATGTCACCTTTGGTCAGGTGCTGTGGTGTTACAGCTCACAGCAACCTCAAACTCTTGGGCTTAAGTGATTCTCTTGCCTCAGCCTCCCAAGTAGCTGCATCCACAGGCACTGCCACAATGCCAGGATATTTTGTTGTTGTTGTCATCCTTGTTGTAGTCATTTAATAGGCCAGGGCCAGGATTGAACCCACCAGCCCAATGTATGTGGCCAGTGCCCTAACCACTGAGCTATGGGCACTGAGCCATATACGTCTTTCTGAGTTTGGTCTATGGTTCACACATTTTGAGGGTGGATATAACATGTCAATGAGGGGAGCAATAAATATTGTATTTTCTTGTTTAAGGGACCAAAGTAAATATGTGTGTGTGAAAATAGCAGAAATTTTAAAACTTGGTTTATAAGACTAAATAATTAGTAAATCTGTAGCTGATGAGGGATTACTCCAGGTCTTTTCTTGGTTGATTCTTTTTCTTTTGTTTTTGGAAGTCTTACTCTGTTGCCCCAGCTAGAGTGCAGTGGCATTGCCACAGCTCGCTGCATCCTAAATTCCTAGGCTCAAGTGATTCTTTTGCCTCAGCCTTCCAAGTAGCTGGTACTACAGGCACATACCACTGGGCCTGGCTAATTTTTCTATTTTTTTGTGGTGCCTGGTCTCGAACTCTGGGCCTCAAGCGATCTCCTGCCTCAGCCTCCCAGAGTACGAGGATTATAGGTGTGAGCCAAGACCTTTTTTAATTTATGCCTTTTTATTGATTTTTTCCCAATGTTGGGATTTTTATTATACATGCTATTTTATAACCTGTTTTTTCTTGTATCTTAAACTATTGTTTTTAAAATGTGGTTTTTAATAAGAGGCACAGTGATCCATTACATCCCAGTGTCATAATTTATTTGATTAATTCCCAGTTGTTAAATATGCAGGTTATTTCTTAATTTTTGATATTACAAACATGCTTGTACATAATAAATCTTTGTGTTCATTGCTGGATTTTTTTTTTTTTTAGGTTTTCCTGAAAGTAGAATTTATAGCCAAATTTCTAGCTTTTTAAAGACTTTTGGTAGGTATTGCCAAAATTTTTCTGTGAATTTGGCTAATTTAAGTGGAAAACTGGTGCTTCTCTATTATATACCTGGAGGCCCATTTATTGAAAATCTTTTTTTTGAGACAGAGCCTCAAGCTGTCCCCCTGGGTAGAGTGCTATGGCATCATAGCTCACAGCAACCTCCAACTCCTGGGTTCAAGCGATTCTCTTGCCTCTGCCTCCCAGGTAGCTGGGACCACAGGTGCCTGCCACAACGCCTGGCTATTTTTTGGTTGCAGCCATCGTTGTTTGGCAGGCCTGGGCTGGATTCGAACCTACCACCTTAGGTATATGTGGCTGGCACCTTAGCCACTTGAGCCACAGGTGCCAAGCCTATTGAAAATTTTATTAACATTAATTGAAGCTGATGGTAGTAAACTGGATGATTATGTATGTATTTAGCTTCTCTTGCTTTTGTTTATGCTTTCTTGGCTTTCTACTATGAATTATATAATAATAGCATTCTTTGGTATTGCTTTTTATAGAAAACGTGTCTCAACTCAGCCAGAGGGAACAAAATAAAGATTATCAAGAGATTAACAAAACATCTTCATCACTTGAGGAACCCTCAGGCAAGTAGTACAGCAGACTCCCTTGCTGCTCTGTACACAGGTGGCTGACTGGTTTCAGAGAGGAGGGGTTAGCAGCTGACTAGGAGGCAGCATAAAGAATGGCCTTATAGACGTTGGGTAGGTGCTACTGCCAAGCCCCTAAACAAAATTGGAAAATGTATAAGAGGTTTGTGTTTGGTGCCATCACATTTGCCTTTCTTGTACTCTTCTACCTCCTAAAGGTCCTTCCCCCTGCCCTATAAGGCATGAAGCCTTGATTCTTCCCTCTGGCTGTTCAGAGTCCTCTGCAATTTTACATCTCCCAGAGTCGAGTATGTGATATCATGGGAGTGATTCCAAAACTATGAAAAGAAATTGGTAGAAAGGTTGGCCTAGTAAAAGAACTGCTTGTCTCTGGTTTTACTTGTAATGGTTAAACTGTAGACTAGAAAATCAGCCTCACTTTCCTTTACTTTTTCATATGGTATGGTTATATTCAAGCTTATAGAATAGCCTTAGGATTCATAAACTAGAGTTATAAGTGAAGGAAGAATTCTATCTTCTTGATATAGTTTTTACAGTAGTAAATGAATTTTTGAGAATTAGAGGATTGTCCTGGATATCTTTTCTTTAGTAATTATAATGTTGTCATAGGAGGAATTGCCTTTCTGTTTTACTTATACTGAAAACAACTGTTGCCACTTTCTTTCTTTCTCATATAGCATCAAAGAATGAATATGAGGGAAGCACAGATGAATTGAAGAAAAAGAAATTTTCTGGTCCAAGCAAAGTAAGTATTTTACTTCTCTAGGGTTAAAAATGAACCCCTTTATCACGGACTACATCCAGAAGCGCCTTTCTTTGGAGATTAACTTCACAGAGTTCTCAGTAGCCTTATCTCCTACTCTGAGAAATCCAGGTTCTCTTTTATTTTTATTTATTTATTTATTTATTTTTTGAGACAGAGTCTCTCTTACCCTCTGTAGAAGTGTGGTGCTGTCATAGCTCACAGCAACCTCAAACTCTTGGGCTTAAGTAATCCTCTTGCCTTAGCCTCCCAAGTAGCTGGGACTATAGATGCTTACCACAACATCTGGCTGGTTTTAGAGATGGGGTCTTGTTCCTGCTCAGGCAGATCTCAAACTCCTGAGCTAAAGCAGTCTACCTGCCTCAGCCTCCCAGGGGGCTAGGTCTTTTAGTTTTGAATTCTCTAATGTCTTCATTCACCCTGTTCCCTATAACCACTTACATACAAGTTACCTCTTTAATTAGTTGATTAATCTTTCTTTTGCCATATAAAGACATTTGAGTAACATATTTTTATTTTCCTCCTTTTGTTATACAAAAAGTAGAATGTAATATATTGTTTATCTTAATTTTTTTAGCCTATTGTGGAAATCATCCTATTGAGTATGTTGAGAGCATCCTATTAGATGGATCTATATATTTAGCCAGTTCCCTATAGATGGATACTTTGATTCTTTTTAGTTTTATACTACAACAGGGCTATAATGAATAATCTTTTATATACACAATTTTATGTGGATGTGTGTGGTAAGCTCTCAGAAATTGGATTTCTAGGTTGTGTCAGGAGGTTCCCAAGACCATGGTTAGGTTAGGTGTTTCACAAGAGAACTCATAGGACTCACCATATGGTTATACTTGCAACTGTGATTTCCTGCAGTGGAAGAATACTGGTCAAAATCAGTGAAGGGGAAAGGTACCTTGAGCGAAATATGTAGGAAACCAGGCACAAGTTTCCAAGGGTCCTCATTCAGTAGAGTTATACAGGATATTCTTACTTTTCCTAGCCATGAGTTGTGACAACATGTGTGAAATGTTGCTAACTAGGGAAGCTCTTTGGAGACTCCACGACCAGGATTTTTACCGGGGACTGATCACATAGGCATTCCTTGCCTATCATGTACCTTAATTCCAGATTTTCAGAAAGAAAGCCGGTATTCAGCATAAACCACATTGTTTGTATAGTTGAGGCACAGTGAGCCACACTTATCAGTTAGGGTAGTAGTAACCCTCCCCAAATCCAAGTTCCCAGGAGCCAGATGAGGGCCGACCTTCCAGACTATCAAAGGAGAGTAGTCAGGCTTGCTTTGTTAACTCTTTTCTGCAAGTTGTTCAAAAGGCAAATGCCACATTTCCCTCTCTATAGGTTGTATCATTTAACACTCATACTTGCAGTATAATAGCTACCGTTCTTAAAGGGCTTCCCTTTCATTGGCTGAAAACCAGCTTGTTATGGCTTTGTGGGAAAAAAAAAATCAAGGTTCAGAGAATGATCTCCTACATAGATGACTTATGTTGAGATCATCAGTGGAAACTGCTCTCTCTTGGCTTTGATTGCTGGCAGGCATAGGGATAGTAATTCTTTTTTTTTTGAAGACAGAGTCTCAAGCTGTTGCCCTAGGTAGAATGCTGTGTTGTCACTGCGTACAGCAACCTCAAACTCTTGGGCTTAAGCGAGCCTCTTGCCTCAGCCTTCCAAGTAGCTGGGACTACAGGAACTCACCACAATGCCTGGCTATTTTTTGGTTATAGTTGTCATTGTTGTTTGGCGGGTCCGGGCTGTATTCGAACCCGTCAGCTCTGGTATATGTGGCTGACGCCTTAGCCACTTGAGGTACAAGTGCCAAGCTGTGACAGTAATTCTTTTTTTTTTTCTTTTATTGTTCGGGATTCATTGAGGGTACAAGAAACCAAGTTACACTAATTGCATTTGTTAGGTAAAGTCGCCCTTACAATCATGTCTTGCCTCCAAAAGGTGTGGTGCATGCCAAGACCCCACCCCCCTCCCTCCTTCTCTCTCTGCTCTTCCTTCCATCCTTCTCTCCCTCCTCCTTTCTCTCTCTCCCCCACCATGTCATTAATTGTCATTAATGGGACAGTAATTCTTATAGTTAAAATTCTTTTGAAAGAAATAGTCCATTTTTGCTACAATTTTTGCACACTTATAAGTACTGACTACTCAAGAGGCTAAGACAGGAGAATCGCTTGAGCCTAGGAGTTTGAGACTAGTGAGCTGTGATTGTGCCATTGCACTCCAGCCTGGGTGACAGAGCCGGATCCCATCAATAAAAAACAACAAAAAACTCCATTAAAAAAATATGAAATAACCCATTTTTTTCTTTGCAGTTTCCAGCCACACTTTCTTCCAAATATCCTGATGATGACCCAGACTACTGTGTATGGGTTCCACCTGAAGGTAAATTGTTTTTACTTTTCTTTTTCTCTAGGATTATTTATTTATATTTTTGAGTAGGTAACATATATTTAAGGTTTAAAACAAGAAAATTACAAGAGTATATATTGAAAAGTCTCCCTTTTAGTGGAACAGGTAGCTCTAAAGAGATATATCAACCAAATATAATTTGTATACCCTGTTTAGCCTCTAATTCAAATAAGCAACTATTAAAAAAAATCATTAGTGGGTGGTGCCCGTGGCTCAAAGAAGTGTGAGCTGGCTCCATATGCCAGAGGTGACGGGTTCAAGCCCAGCGCCGGCCAAAAACTGCTAAAAAAAAGAAAAATCATTAGCCAGTCAGATTAATTTTGAACACTACCTAGATAGTTGATGGTTCTAAGAAATTATTGTTAATTTAAAAAAATATGAAAGATGCTGAGTTATATTTTTTGGAAAAAGTCCTTGTCTCCTGGAATACATACAAAAGTGTTCACATATAGAATGATATCAGGGATTTATCTTAAAATAATCCAGTGGGGGAAGATGAGGAATGATAGGGGAAGAGTAACAATAGATAAAACAGGATTGGCCACATATTGATAATTATTAAAGCTGAGTTATGGCTACATGGCATTCATTATATTTTTCTATTTACTTTTACGTGTTTTAAATTTTCTTTTCTTTTTTTTTTTTTAAGACAGAGTGTCACCCAGGCTAGAGAGATATGGCATCAGCCTAGCTCACGGCAACCTCAAACTCCTGGGTTCAAGTGATCCTCCTGCCTCAGCCTTGTGAGTAGCTGTCGCTACAGGTGCCCACAATGCCAGGCTAATTTTTTCTATTTTTAGTAGAGATGGGGCTTGCTCTTTCTCAGATAGGTGTCAAACTACTGAGCTCAAGGAATCCTCCTATCTTGGCCTCCCAGAGTGCTACAATTATAGTCATGAGCCAGTGCTCCTGGTCTAAATTTTATTAAAAGAAAGAAAAAAAAATTCTCGCTGTGCCTTAACTACTCTTATTTTTTTTTCCCTTAGAAAACAGCCAGATAGGCTGGGCTCGATGGCTCATACCTCTAATCCTATCACTCTGGGGGGCCAAGTAGGTTAGGAGTTTGAGATCAGCCTGAGCAAGAGTGAGACCCTATCTCTACTAAAATAGAAAAATTAGCTAAGCATTGTGGTAGGCACTTTCAGTCCTGGTTGCTCGGGAGGCTGAGGCATGAGGATCACTTAAGCCCAAGAGTTCAAGGTTGCTGTGAGCTATGATGACGCCATGACATTCAACCCCCAGGCGACAAAGTGAGACTCTGTCTCAAAGACAAATGAACAGATATTATCAATTTCTTATCAATCCTTATATATATATATATATATAAAAGTTTAATATAGTAAATTACACATGAACTTTATGTCCACCCTATATATGTATTTTATAAAATACATATTTCATTACTTTTTTTATACCATGGAAACATTAGCAATACATGGAGATTCTTTCATAGCTATTTATAGATTTCTTGTGGGTTTTTTTTTTTAATACATTGGCATCTTTTTTTTGGCATCATTCTTTAATTTTTTTTTTTTTTTTTTTTGAGACAGAGCCTCAAGCTGTCCCCCTGGGTAGAGTGCTATGGCTTCACTGCTCACAGCAACCTCCAACTCTTGGGCTCAAGTGAGTCTCTTGCCTCCGCCTCCCAAGCAGCTGGGACCACAGGCGCCCGCCACAACGCCCGGCTATTTTTTGGTTGCAGCCGTCATTGTTGTTTGGCGGGTCCGGGCTGGGGATTCGAACCCACCACCTTAGGTGTACATGGCTGGCGCCTTAGCCAGTTGAGCTATAGGCGCCGAGCCATCATTCTTTAATTTTATAGTATGGTTGTACTTATTTAAACAGTTCCCTCAAGGGTATTTGCTATGTTTCCAGTTTTTTCTCATTGCAAACAACTCTGCAATAAGTACCTCTCGTGTGTAATTTTATTATATATATATAAGTATAGACATGCATCTGTAGAAAAAATTTGTAAAAGTTAATCTGCTGTATCAAAGTTATGAACATTTCTAACGTATTATAAGTTGCATTTTGTAGTGATTATGCTAGTTTTACGCTGATTACACATCCCAGTAAGGCTTATTTCCCAGTATGCACATCACAGCTTGCTTTTTCTATGGGTAGAGTTTCCAATATACTAGTATTTAATAGAAACTTAATTACTAGAAATGTTTTCTTTTTGTATGCTAATAAATGTTGAGGTAGCAGTGAAAAGAGAACTGTATTTTGGAATTGTAAATAAAAAAATTTCTGTCATGGAAGAAACCTCTTTATCTGTTTTCTTTTTGGCCTACTGATGTCTAGATCTCTTGTCCCTCCTGACATTGGAAGAGTAAATGTATTTCTTTCCTTTTTTATACTCTGATCTAGGGCAAAGTGGAGATGGCAGAACACACCTTAATGACAAGTATGGCTATTGATTGCTTCAGAATCCCAAAGGAAGACCTTGTGGACCATGCAACATGATATTTGGGATAATATATCAGAATGGCCAGAGAAATTCAGATGATCATTGTAAATGTACTGACTACCTTTTCACTTGTACTTCCTAAATCTATCTGCCCATCTGATTCTTCTGAATTTGATATTTATATTTAAAAGTATTTGTGTATGTATGTAAAAAGAGAACCATATATTTTGAGAATGAGTGAAGTGAGAAACATGAGTCCATAAAAGTGAGAAGACAAAGATGTTTCCAATGTTGATGAAAAGTCACAGCCTCTTTCAATAAGACATACTGCTTTTCCTGAGCAATCAGGCACTTCTGGTGGTTAGGCTGTAGGAGTCCCTGAGTTAGCCTTGTCAAATAACTGTTGAAATATGGGGTTATGCTATCAGTGTGCCTTTGGGTGTCCCTGTCATTCTTGGAACTAAAAGTAGATTCCTACTGCCTCCAACTATAATCATCCTGCCAGGTGTGAGAACAGACCCTGACTAATTAGGGTATAATTAACCATTGTACCACCTCATGGACTCAGCCATCAGTCCTGATAAAAACTGAGCCAGATGAATGTCCACAACTTGACCAGTCAGTCAAATTTCTCTTGTGGAAGGATACAAATAAGGTTGTGGAATGAAAAGCTGGATTTGTTCTACCCACTATGGGGCCTCATCTCTATGGAGAGGGGAATAAAAGTTCCTTCCTCTCCGGAAACAGGAAGAAATGCTGAAAGATGCTTCATTCCCTCCTGTTACCCTCCCCGTCACGTTTCCATAGAGTGGAAAGCCTGAGTGAAATGAGGTGGAGAGCATTTGGGTTAGACTAAGGCAGACTAATCAGCAGGCAGGAGGAATGCTGTGTCCCAGCTAGAGAGTGGATGGGGTGGACGTGTTCCTAAAATGGATTACACATATGCACGGAGGTAGGCAGGAAGCAGTAATGAGCAACTTCAGTTATCCTGACAGATGTGGGAAGTCTGGTCTGCTAAAAGTGATAAATCCTTCATCTCTCAAAAAGGAATGTTGATGTTATGAGGCTCTATAATCATGGATTTCATTTAGACCAACAGGGAAGAACTGGCTGATGGTATAAGAAGTGACAGAAATTTGGATGCAGAGTGACCATGCCATCTTGGATTAAAACAGTGGAGAGGCTCGGCGCCTGTGGCTCAAGTGGCTAAGGCGCCAGCCACATACACCTGAGCTGGCAGGTTCCAATCCAGCCTGGGCCCGCCAAACAACAATGATGGCTACAACAAAAAAATAGCCGGGCGTTGTGGCAGGCGCCTGTGGTCCCAGCTACTTGGGAGGCTGAGGCAGGAGACTCGCTTGAGCCCAGGAGTTGGAGGTTGCTGTGAGCTGTGATGCCATGGCACTCTGCCCAGGGGGACAGCTTGAGGCTCTGTCTCAAAAAAAACAGTGGAGAAAGGTCTGAGCCAGATCATTTGGGCTTCAGAGATGAAACTCGTACAGAGGTCAGGAACCTGTGGCCTTCTATTTTTTTTTTTTTTTTGCAGTTTTTGGCTGGAGCCGGGTTTGAATCCACCACCTCCAGTATATGGGGTCAGCCTATGTGGCCTTCTATTTTAACAAAATCCTTCTATTTTTATTAATACATTTTTGTCCTTTTTTTTTGAGACAGAGCCTCACTCTGTTGCACTGGGTAGACTGGAGTAGTGTCATTGTAGCTCACAACAACCTCAAACCCTGGGTTTAATCAATCCTTCTGCCTCAGTTTCTTGAGTAGCTGGGATTACAGGTATCTGTCACCATGCCCAGCTAATTTTTCTGTTTTTAGTAGAGATAGGATCTCGTTCTTGCTCAGGCTAGTCTCAAACTCTGAGCTCAAGTGATCCTCCCTCCTTAGCCTCCCTGATGACTACGATTATAAGTGTCAACCTATAGGCATAAACCACCATGCCTGCCCCATATTTTTATTTTTAAAACAAATCTAATGTTTGTTCTATAAAATTTAGATGCATTCAAAAGGCTGCACTAGAGGACCTAAAGAGCCACTTGTGGGCTTAAGGATGTAGGTTCCCTGACTGTATTTTGGTGCACAAAATTGTAGTTGAGTACTATGAATTTTAAATCATAACTAAAACACATCTTTATTAATCAAAATAGGAGCCATTACAAGCAACACACTGTTGCCATTGAGAAATGAGTTTGTTACTTGAGAGGCTGAGGCAAGAGAATCGCTTAAGCCCAAGAGTTTGAGGTTGCTGTGAGCTGTGATGCCATGGTACGCTACTGAGGGTGACATAATGAGACTCTGTCTCAAAAAAAATAAAAGAGAAACAAGTTTGTTTCTTCCTATAGTGCAAGAATATGTGCTTCGGGATTCAACAAACTCCCGGAAAGGAATTTCTCCATCTTTGTGGTTTTCCCTGTAAAAAGCGTTTTCCCTGTAAAAAGTTGCCACCATGCTTGAAGAAGTAGGAGTCTATTGACCAGAATCAGGTGAATATGCTGCATGAGGCAAAACTTCGTAGCCCAATTCGTTCAACTTTTGAAGCATTGGTTGTGTGACGTGGAGAAAAATTGAGGCCTTTCTGCTGACCAGTGCCAGCCGTAGACATTGCAGTTTCAGTGCATCACATCAATTTGCTAAGCAGACTTTTCAGAGGTAATGTTTTCGCTGGGATTCAGAAAGCTGTAGTGGTTCAGACCAGCAGCAGACCACCGAACAATGACCATGACCTGTTTTTGGAGTAAGTTCAGCTTTGTGATGTGCTTTCAAGGTTCCTCTCAGTCCATCCACTGAAAAGAGTCATCATTGGTTGTCCTATAAAATCCGCTTTTCATCACAATCACAATCTGATCAAGAAATGGTTCACTCTTGCATAGAATTAGGGAAGACTACGCTTGAAAATGACGATTTCCCAGCACAGTGGCTCATATCTGTACTCCTAGCATTCTGGGAGGCTGAGGTGGGTATATTGCTTGAGCTCAGGAGTTCAAGACCAGACTAAGCAAAAGCGAGACCCGGTCTCTAAAAATAGCCAGGCTTTGTGGTGGGCACTTGTAGTCCTAGCTACCAGGGAGACTGAGGCAAGAGGATTGCTTGAGTCCAAGAGTTTGAGGTTGCTGTGAGCTATGACACCATGGCACTCTACCCAGGGCATTTTTTTTTTTTTTTTGAGACAGTGAGATACTCTCAAAAAAAAAAAAGAAAATGATGATTGCTCTAATTTTCATTCAGTTCATGAGGCACCCACTTATCAAGCTTTTTCACCTTTCCAATTTGCTTCAAATGCTGAATGACCATAGAAGGGTCATTGAATTCTTCAGGAACTTCTGGAGCTGTTAGAGGATCAGCTTTGATGGTTGCTCTCAACAGTTCATTGTCAACTCCCGATGGCCTGCCCCTATGCTCATTTTCACAGTTCGCTCTCTCCTTTGCAAAACTTCTTGAGCCACCACTGTACTGTAGGTTCATTAGCAGTTCTTGAACCAAATGTGTTGTTGATGTCATGAGTTGTCTCCCATTTTGAACTTGAATAAGAAGATCGCTTGAGTTTGCTTCTTGTCTAACATCATTCTCATAGTCCAAAATAAATATAAACAGCAGGTAATAAGTCATTATCAAAAAAAATGAGAAATGCTCATTAAAATTATGTACTAACATAACCACATTAATGTAAGAATGTATTGTAGTATCAAGTGGCAGATTTCAATAATGCAAAGACTGCACTTATTCTGCACCAGCCTAATGCATGGGACCTTAATACTTGATCTGGTAAAAGTATACTTGCTGGTGGTTGAAGTGAAGCAGAAATTGGAGTTCTACACTACACAGTCCCCCCTCCTCATTCAACCCTCACAATCCTCACAATGTACCTGAGGAACCCTGGGGGCTCCACAGAATATAGTCTGCTAGAGGAGGGCAAATTCGTGAATGCTTTGGGGATGGTAGGTGTGGCCCCAGGTCTAAGGTGCTGAATGCAAATAGTACTCCCTATGCCAAAAATAAAACCTAAATATGTAGCTTGTAAAGTTAACATCAGTGGTCAGTGGACTTGATTTAAGAGATTTGCATGTGAATATTGGCCCGCTTTTACTAAATATGAGATTGGGCACATCACTTAAATTCCTTGAGTTTCTGTTCTGTCATCTGTGAAGTAGTGACAGTAAAGATTCCTGCTCTTGCAACTCTCAGATTTATTCTAAGGATGAGATGAGACAGTGTAAGTTAGCGGTTCTCAGCCTGTGGGGCGCAACCTCTTTGGACTATATTAAAAGGTTCACAGCATTAAGAAGGTTGAGAAGCACTGGTGTAGGTGAATGTACTTTACAGGGCTTTACAGCTGTTAATGGTTGCTGATGAAACCAGTATTTGTTAGTACAAAAAAAGGGATAGATCATAACATCTGAGCCTGATTTTCCTCATCTATGAAAAAGAGGTAGGATTAGATCAATGATTCTCAGCTTGCTGCATGTTAGAATCAACTAGAGAAGTTTTTGTTTATTTTTATTTTTGGAGACAGAGTCTCAGTTTGTCATCCTCGGTAGAAGTACTGTGGCGTCATAGCTCACAGCAACCTCAAACTCTTCGAGCTCAAGTGATTCTCTTACCTCAGCCTCCCAAGTAGCTGGAACTACAGGCACCTGCCACAAATGCCTAGCTATTTTTTTTTTTTTTAGAAACGGGTCTCGCTCTTACTCAAGCTGGACTTGACCCTGTGAGCTTAAGCAATCCACCCGCCTCGGCCTCCTAGAGTGCTAGGATTACATGCATGAGCCACTATGCCCAGCTAGAAGAGAACTTTTTAAAATATTGAATTCTAATACTTGGATCTCATCTCAGACCAATGTAATCAGAATTTCTGAAGGTTTTTTTTTTTTTTTTTGCATTTCAGGTGGTCCCAATGTCCACCTAATGGTGGAAAACCTCTTGAGCATTTTTTATTTAATAAACTTTTTCTGGTAAGGGCCATATATTTTAGCCTTTGCAAGCCATGTGGTCTGTTGAAACCACCCAGCTCTGCTGTTGTAGTACAAATGGTGTTGACAGGACAAAAATGAGTGAGTGTATCTGTGTTCATTTAAGTATTTATTTAGAAAAACAAGTGGCAGGCCAAATTGGTTGGCCAACCATGCTCTAGAACAATTCATCTTCAAGGTCTTATCTGGCTCAAGATGTGCTTTATAACATTTTAAAAAAATAATGTTTATCTCATTTCATGGATAGTTGAAGATTTTGTGTTCAAAACTAATCTCCTCCTGCAACTACATGGTTTGCAATTTTACCAGAAATTAAGGTAATCCATTTTCCTTTTATCAGAAACAAAAGTAAGGTTATTAGTTGTGAAAAAAATGTTTTTGTTACTATGGGAATATAATGTGTTAACTGTTAGCAAATTAATCCTGGTCAGCCCTCCTGGCCTCTGCAGGAGTTCTGTATTACATCTGCCTGTTTGTGTTTGTTTATTTGAAACAGTCTCACTTTGTCACCCTTGGTAGAGTGCCATAGTGTCACAGTTCACAGCAACCTCAAACTCTTGGGCTTAAGCAATTTTCTTGCCTCAGCCTCTCAAGTGGCTGGAACTACAGGCACTCACCACAATGCCCGGCTATTTGTTTCTGTTGTTGTTACTCTTGTGGTTTAGCAGGCCTGGGCTGGGTTTGAACCTGCCGGCCTCAGTGCATGTAGCTGGTGCCCTAACCACTGAGCTACGGGCTCCACCCCCTGCCTGTATATTTAAAGACAAATGGGCCCCCACAACGGTGTCAATGATGGTGAAATGATCGAGTTTGGGTTTTTGTTTGTTTCTTTGTTTATTTATGGAGACAGGGTCTTACTCTGTTGCCCAGGTACGAGGGCAGTGGCATCATAACATAGCTCACTGCAACCTTAAACTCCCCGGCTTCGATGATCCTCCTGCCTCAGCCTACTGAGTAGCTGGGAATACAGAAATGTGCCACCATGCCCAGCTAATTTCTATTTTTTTTTGGTGGAGACCTGGTCTTAATATGTTGTTCAGGCTGGTCTCACACTCCTGACCTGAAGGAGTCCTCCTGTCATGACCTCCTAAAGTGCTAGGATTACAAGTGTGAGCCACTGTCCGGACTGGGTTTGAATTTTTTTTTTTT